TGCCCGTGTTCTCACTGTACATGGCCGGAGTTTTCAGCAGACAGACACATATCGCTGAGCCACAGCCCACAGCCCATAGCCAGAGTTTCGTTTTTTTCTGGGATTATCAACCCTATCTTTACGTCTGCATGTGGTCTTCAATCACTGAGTTTGAAACTGTCCTGTTTACATCAATTTGCTGGACAGATATGGAGGTGAAATTGTTTTTTACACCTTAAATTCTACAACTTCAGCTTCATGTAGAATGATGAGTTTGAAATCAAGGTCAACAAAAATCTGTACAAAGCATTGTTTTTTCTCTCTTTAAGCACAATGTATTATCACAGTGAAAAATATATTAAGGGAAGGAACTGATTCAAACTGATAGCTTTGTTTTGGTTAATCCATCTGAATCATCATTAGGTAAGATGGCCGTTTTGTATAACATGTACATTCACATGTAAACATGATGCAGCGAACACCCCAGCTGATAACCTGTTACCTCTGTGTGAACTGTGTCTCTGAATTGATTGAAAAATGTTCACTTGTGTTTCATTATCATTTAAACACGTGTGCTGTTGACTTGAATGCATGTGCACCCATACACAACCAGATGAGAAGATCTAGCGCATAAGCTTTCACTCATAAACAGGAACCTGAGCTGGAAAGACCTGGTGGCCCACACCTACACACACACAGACACACACCATACACATCCTGTGTTTACACATTTGTATACAAATCGTTGGTTTTAGCAATTATGACCTTTGGCTGAAAATCAATGTCCTCGCAGGGTTGAACTCGTGGTCATGCTACTTTAAATGACCCCTGCACTGCTTAATTTCTGCTTCATATTCACTCCAGAGACACACAAATGGATAAAGTTCACTATTTATGAATACCTTTACAATTAAATATTACTAAGGCTTAACTATTCTTTGTTTGACCCGTTGCCACCATGACCCGACCCCAAAATGGATGGATGGTAAAACTATTTACCTCATTATGTTCACTACTTTATTACGTCCAATGTTATCCAGTTTTAAAACCTCAACCATCGTTGAGCATTTGGTAACTGTTCCAACTCCAAAAGCACATTGTAATGAGATTATGTTTACATAATGCGACAAAGGTGGGAACTGCTTATTCTGAGTGTCACCTTAGTCAGGTTAAGGTAATCAGAATATGATGTTTACTCGGCAGTGTCTTATTGTGACTATTCTTTACTGAGATAATATCAAAATATCTATGTAAACACAGATGTTTGTGTTTGTCCTGCTCTGTCAAGGTAACAGTCAGACAGAGAAAAGCATAAACCACCCACAGGAACAATTAGCTCTCCTTTTTCCATCTCTTAGAAGTTCCCAACCAAACCACAAAGGTTGTTGTATATCTCAGAAATAAAGAAAGAGAAAGAAGTTTGTAATCTGTAAAGTATGTAGTCAACAAGACAAATACAATAAATAACTGAGATAAATTAGTCTCTGTTTAAATTGAGTGTTTGTTAATTTCTGGGTGGTTTACTAAGTTCCACAAACTGATCCAGTTTTCTACATTAATAAAGAAACATACATATGATAAAACATAATGTGATTGCTAACTTTTGGGCTTCAAAATTTACCCATTATCCTGTTTTCTACAGTTACTAATTGCCAGTTATATTATAGTCTTTAGTGTCCAAAAATCTGAGTCATTATGCTTTGAATACTTCTCACAGTTCAGAACATCATAGAGATGATTTTATGTGGTAAAAAAAATGGTTGTGGAAAAGAATACCTTCCTGAAACAATCAGTTTTTGTATTTATCTTATATTGACTGGTCATCCTTAGCCGACTGAAGAGCCTCCACACTCTCTGAGTGTTGTACAGGCACACGCACACACACTGACAGCACTGGCTTTCAGAGAAGACCAAAACACTTTCCGGCAATAAGACCTACCACAGTACGTCAGCCAGCAGATGATGCCAAAATCTGTGCATGCGCACAAAACCCAGAGAGCTACGCCTGCTGGCTCATGGAGGTTTTTCCCATGTCTCAGAGGATTTACAGGAATTGGAGGAGAGGTGAAGAAATAATAGGGCTGCAGCAAGTAATGCCGCAACTTACTGCCAATAAATTTGATATCGTCATTTGTGTGCGTGTGCGTGCGTGTGTGTTTGAGTGCTTGGCCCTCAGCTATGCTTACAAGAAAGTGAATATACTGTATACACAGCACGTTTCTTCGAAACATACACTCCCTCGGAAAATTGCCCAAACACTAACCGGCGGTCTTATCAAACTGAAGTTTATTAATTAATTTAGTTTTTCCTGAAAGTTACGGTGGAAGGAATTTGCCATATTTATTATTTCCTTAATTGTTTATTATTCTGCCTTAAAAAGAGAACTCTAAATTTGGTCATATAAAAGCTTGTGGGTAATAGTCAAATATAATTTCTCAGTTTCTCAAATACATTTAAAAGGATTGTATGGAAACAGTGGTGTGGTGGAACTGTAGCCTTATGGCATTAAGGTTTCTGGTTTGAATCCCAGTTGGTTGTGTAGCTTTGCATGTTCTCCTCATGTCTGCACAGGTTTTCTGTGGCTACTCTGGCTTCCTCCAGACTTGCAGATCGGGGTTATTTTGAATAGACCATAGGTGTGAATTGTTGTTTGTCTCTGTGTGTTGGCCTGGTGATTGGCTGGTGACCTGTCCAGACTGTACCCCTGCCTGTCGCCCAGTGTCAGCTTGGATGGGCTCCAGCTTTCTCTGCCGCCCTCAAAAGGATGAGCGGTACAGAAAATAGATGGATAGATTTTCTAAGAGCAGCTTATTAAAAACAAACTGTATATTTAATGTTTTGCATTATCTCTGATCATTTCTTCATGAATTGTCCAATATTTCTTTCCCTTGTAATTCCACGATAATACATTTTTTAAAGAGGATTTAAACCACACAGCAACAAATGCAGATGTATATGCAGATATCCTCCCTTCCCCTTAATCTCACAGCAGCAGTCCAGAGGAACTCACCAGTAACTTTAAGGTTTTTTCCTCTGCAAAATAATGAGTCACATCATTTAAATAAATCTGTGACTTTTCTGCCTGTGTCTAACATGATGCATGCATCAGGTGTAAGTATGGGACTTCTGAAAGTTTTGCGAACTTGCATGTATATAGTACAGCTAAATATGTTTGTGAGTGTGTGTATCTGTATATCTGTGAGTTTACATATCGACCTTGTCTGTGTGTCAGACCGAACAGTCTCCAATTGATCTCTTTCTATTTCTCTTGTGTAACAGCATCACATAGCTGATTGTTGACCCCGCAGTGTCCAGTCTGTAATCTCCTGACCTGATATCTTAACATGAACAAACCTGAGCACTGGGACTATTATCATAAGCAGCCATTTTGTAATTTAACTGAAACACAGTCCTGAAAAACTCAGTTGTTGTTGTTGTACGTTCTTAAATTATAAGCTACTGAAGTAGATGCAGGACTGAAGAAAGATGTGGTCATAAAAAGTTAAGATATTTGGATACATAAGCTTTATGCAGCTCTCACAAATAGAATTACTCCCTCTACAGGAGCACATTCAAATGATCTATTGAGACATTTTCATTTCTGTTTACCCATGTAATCCCAGAGACCACAAACAGTACCAACAAACAACTGTAATTCTATTTGAGCATCAGTGTCAAGAGATAATAGCCTACACTGGAAATTGATCAAGTCTGAATGATATTGAACATTGATTAAATGGTCAACACTCTAATCAAGGGTGGCTGCTTTGATTCAATCTTGATATTAAGGCTTAAGCCTGAGACCAATCCTGAAAGACAGGAGACTGTTAAGATAAAGGTCTCAAATGATAAATGCCGGGAGATAAGTGTCTATGTCTCAGAGTGTTTTCAAACCTACAATCAGAAAGAAAAAAGCATCAAAAGCAACATGTATATTTTATAAAAACACACCCTAACGGACAGTAGATATCACACAAAGCTATGCTGCCACATGACAGTTAAACTAGTTCCTGGATGTTAGGCATTCCCAAATACACGCAAATATAATGACTGCCTGGTTCCTCTTACAACAGGCAGCAACTATTCATTTGGTGGCTTCTCATTCCCCCCTGATAAACTTCTATTTTGGGCTGCTACAAAAAAAAAAGAAGAAAACTCCATTGACATTAACTTCTCCTTTTTCTTTATTCAAAGGAAAACAGAGAAGGCGAAACCAAGAGAAGTAAACCGAGAGAGACAAAGAAAAAATGAAAAGAGAAATGCGGATGTGATGCAGTGGTGGAACAAGTATCTAGAAAGTTGTTACAAACAGGACAAATTGTACAGATGCTGCCAAAATAACAATGTCTTCCCACACCCAACCTCTCTGAACTCAACTGTCACTCACCCACTCAACTGCCACTTTAAAGTAATGCCATTATGTACAGGTCAATAAAGTACTAAACCTGCAGCAATAGCAGAACTAAATAAGTAATCTCGCCACTAACCCAGTTCTTTACTGGCAGTCAGTGTTTCATGTCATTGAGATTTCCTTATATGTCCCTGGTGCAGCCAGTTATAAGTGCCTGAGGATTTGTTAATTCACTCTGTTGCTTGTTTCATGGGACATAGTTTGTAGGGGTAACCGGCCATAAAAATATCTAAGTATCTTAAACTGTAAGAGTAACTAAGTCTAAAATACTCCTTTAGTAATTTCAGTAATGTCATACGTAATCATATTTATATGAGGAGCTTCATATTTTGGGAGAGAGAGGACAAGCCAGGCTACATAGGCCTCTATCATTTTATCAAGTCACTTCTTTAAATCACTGAGCCACAAACTTGACACAGAGACTGTCTGAAATGCAGCCAAAGCTAAGGACAGGGACCTAGAGCAGGTCAAGTTAATGTGTCACCAGGTTTGTCCTACAGGCATCATTGTGAAATCCTTGAGAGAAAACCTGCAGGCCCTGCAGATCTGCAAGGGGAGAAAGGGAGGGTTTATGGTCAAAAGGGGCTTATCTCAGCGATTGATCCCTTGGTATATAATGCAGGCGATGGCAGAGACTCGGAGCAGACATGCTGGATCAGCTCTGAGCCTCCAAACCAACTCCCTCCTTCTCCAGTCTCAACACCTTCATCCGCAGTCAGCCATGGGAGTTGCCTACAGCGTTGGAGAGTAAGTGAAATGCATCAGCTGTAGACATCATGCTGGTTCCTGAATATGGTGGAGTTATCTGGCTTTGAATCAGAAAATATCATGCTGACATTTTATTATAAGAAGAGTTTGAATCCAGTCGTATAAATTCATTTGAAGTCAACTCAGATCAAACGCAACAGGAATAAACCTTTTTCATACTCATTTAGAACTACTTGGTGGTGTTGGGTTGATTAGTTATTACATATGTGCAAGAACAGCAAGGGGAATTAGTTTGGCATCTAATGGTGGGAATGAGTGGAAGCCGAAGAGCTGGAGTCTTTGTTTGTGAGAGGCAGTGACTGATATAGTGAAGGAAAGAGAAAGAGAGAGATTTAATTGAGATTTGACATCTATAAATCAAGTAGCTTCATACTTTGAATCTCTCTAACTCATTAACTGTTAATAGAAGAGAGTTGATAATAGATAGATAGATACAACTTCAGATAGGGGCTATTAAATTAAATTGTACTCAGAGAGAACCATTCAAAAATTGTCTGTCACTTTCCTGTGATTCAAGCCCAGGCACGTTTCCACAGATAATAGGAATGTGGAATCTTCAATTGTTCAACTGTGCCAAATTATTAAAGCTTCAGCAACACTGTGTGTCATTGCAACTCAGTGAATTTCCCATTATCAAGTTGAGACAATGTTCTGCTTTAATATTTTATTTCCTAATATAAAATATACCATTGTAAGATTGTAGTGTTGTCTGATGGTAGAAGTCTTCATTTTGGATATAGCAGGCCATATGAACAAAAGATTATGAATATATGATTCTTTTTTGTAAAGATAACGTTCTCCCTTCGCCTCTTTAGGGTCGACCACCTCTACACCTTCTTTGTGCAGTGGTCACCAGAAATCTACACCAAAGGCAGCAAGAAGCACCGCCAGCCCCGTTTCCTCATCAGAGAGAAGCATCCAAATCACTATCTGGTCGTGGAGAAGAACAAAGTGGACGGGATCAACAAGCACCTCAGCCACCCTGTCAACCCCACTGAGAAGAAATGGGAGGTGAGGACTGCACTGCACTGACATACACACATGCTTAAAAATGCTCACAGATGAAACTAAAGCCCCCTGAGGCTCATCTGCCAGAATTATCTGCAGCCATATAAACCCTGAATTACAGTAAGTGAGGAAATGAAGAATGTGGGACACTGGCTGCGCTCCCAGACATTCTGGGAAATCCCACGTGTCTATCTATATATGGACATCCTCTCCACTGTTCCCTCCCAGCATCACAAAGAAACCATGCTTCCCTTTCCTGTTTCATGAGAAAAGAAAGTTAACAGTGTCAGGGTTAACCAATCTGAGCCCCTATGCAGTTTCCAACCAATGGCATTTCAGACAGAGAAAGTGAAAGTTATCCAGAGGGTAGAAAAGAAATGAGTGCGACCTTGGTTTGACTTGTGTGTAGAACTTGACAGACAAAAGTAGGAGAGATGAAGCTGCTGCCGGAGAATATCAAAGTGCTTTACATAGCCAGTGACTGTGGGGAGCCATATGTGCAGGTAGGACTGGAGCAGCACTTTACTCTAGGGTTGTTCACATATTTGTTTGAGCATCATCCTTCCATCTATCTTCCAGCATCTGTTGCATCTGGAGAAATGCTTGTTTATCTTTCACATTTTCACACGTGAACAAGCTTCTGTAAATTGTGAAAAGGTCTGACAAGCCAGTTCTTTTTCCTACAGATTATCAGAGTGATGGACTCCAAACGTCGCCTGAGTCTGTGCAGCTCTGAGGACTCAGAAGCAGAGGAGCCCGAGTACCAGGAGGAGGGAGATGATGCTCTGCTGATGCTGAGTGAGCAAAGCCAGCTGCTGGATGACCAAGACCTGGAGCAGGTGAGTTCCTGATGACTCTAAAAGGAGGATTTTGTATTAGTTACAGCCTATTTGCATTAGGAAATCATGGGATTCACAACTACCTTTCTTTTTTACAATTAGCTTGCTGCTCACATGCCAGCAAGGACCCAGGGCTATCCATGGCAGCTGGTCTACAGCACCGCAATCCATGGCAGCAGCCTGAAGACACTGTACAGGAATATGGCTGGTCTGGACAGTCCTGTGCTGCTGATCATCAGAGATATGCACAACAAGGTTTGTATCTTCATTTGTCATCCAAAAGATAAAAAACAATTTTATATATATATGTATAAAATCATATATTCATAGACTTACATCTGTGGCTTCTCCTTTAATAAGCATTGCCTTTGTGTTTTCAGGTGTTTGGGGCATTTTCCACACATCCATTCAGAGTCAGTAAATACTGCTATGGCACTGGTGAAACCTTCCTATTCAGCTACAACCCAGACTTTAAGGTAAAGAGAGCAACAGATCATTTTTGTGTTACTCATAGTCTATCAGTAGGATTACAGATAATTTCTCAAGTTTTGAAAGCCAACAAAATCTCTAGAAAGTAGTGAAATATAGAAAAGGATAAGAAATATTAGTTTGTGAGATCTCACATATCTGGAAGTTTGAGTTGTAGTTTCTAATGTCATGTGTTTGGCTTTTATTCAGGCGTACAGGTGGAGTGGGGAGAACTCCTACTTTGTCAGCGGCAAATTGGAATCTCTGCAGATTGGTGGAGGAGGGTAAGTTATGTGGTTATTGATTTCTCCCAGTAAAATAAAGACAGGCTCACAGAAGGATAAAATAGATAAAGCCGTGGTTATCGGTGCAGTAAAGTAATAAAATAAAGTCTGTAAAACAATTACTTCACCTGCTACCTGTGAGTTAAGAGAGATTTCAATGCCAGTCACCCGCAGGAAAAGATTTGATGTTAAAGTTCTTGATTTTTGCTCGGTCTGTAGGGATGGCTTCGCCCTGTGGCTGGATTCTGATCTGTACCGTGGCTCCAGTTTTTCCAGTCCAACTTTCCACAACGAACCACTCTCCACGAAGGAAGACTTCATTGTACAAAACCTCGAGGTCTGGACTTTGCAGAACTGAGCGACAACATCAGTTACAGAACCTCAAGACTTCGAGGAGTACAAGTGGGTTAGCAACTACTGTACTAAACCTGATGGAACAGTCACCACTGTATCATGTGTGTACCTGGCTGAGATTAGTCCTCACACAGTTTGTATGAGGCCTGTTCTAGTGGTTCTTGGGCTGGACCTTCTTTTTGCACTGGTTTCATATGTGCCTGTCAAATAGAGGTATCTAGATGAAATCCTGGTATTCTGTGTCCTGCTGCTCAATACTAGCCCTGTGCGGAGCCCAGTATTAACTGGCATCTAAAGCTTTAAGCCCTGCATGCCCTCCTTCTGTTATGGAGGGTATTATGACACAAACTTCCAAGTATTACTATAAAAAGTTCGTACCCACTGTAAGCACATTCAGGGATTTAGGAATATGTATTAATTTACATTTTCCATCTAAAAATAACACCTGAAATTTAAAACAGCATGTCTACAGTATGTGTTGCCATGTGTGCACATGTGAATATGTTTTATTTTGTTTCATTTTAAAACATGAGCAGCCTTATAAACCTTTAAGCTAAAAAAGGCACATATTTGATTTATGGTATAAACACTGTAACATGATAGGACCCACAGTACATTATCTGGGGTCATTGTATGTTTGAGCTATTCCCAACATGACATCGATGCATGTTCTACTACACCAGCATTTGAATTCCTAACCTCTCAGGTTTGAAAATAAATGGAAAGAGTTGCACTATGAATAATGTATTATTATCTATGTGTGTGTGTTTGTGTAGGAACCGTTAACTGTCAACTGTTACTTCTGTTTTTTGGAAGTGTGACACCTGCCTGGCTATTTGCATATAGATGGATCATGTTTTATAGGAAACCTTTAAAATATTTCACATCTTTTTACTTATCTATATATTTAAATGTATTTTTAAGTAATTTTAAAGCAAAGCCACGATGTTCCAGTGCGACTGATTATGGAGATGTCTTTGTGTGAAAATCTGAATCTCTGAAGCAGTGCTGGCACTGCCAATGTGTGTCTTTTTTATTTTTGTGAATCCCCATTAAAACTTTATCTTTCCTGGTGACATTGACTTTATTTTACTATGAATAAACCCTTGATACAACATTGCATTTCTCTACTTATCAAGAAAGTTATCTCTACAGGAGCCAAATACAAAAATAGTAAATAAGTTGGTTCGACTAAACTTGTGCTACAACATGACTAAAATAAGTACAGACAGGACAAACATTACAAACAAATATAAGGATAAATAGAACTACCAAAAATCACCCAGTAATTTGGATCAACTGAGCAGCCTTATCACAGATTAACTGTGATAAGGCATAAAGATTCCCAGACAATAGTTGGCTGTACATTTAGGAACTTCAGGTATCTGGAAAAGAAAATATCCAATCATCAGAATTTGCAGTGAAACAACAGGTCATGCAAAGACACATGATGGTAACTTGCAGTTCAGCCTTGGAAAAGTGGAAGAAAGATATTGAGACAAACTAAATCAAAATAAATGAAACCTTTTGGCAAATGTAATGACCCCTCCGTGCACATGCAAATATCTCTGACCCCGGAACCTCACGACAACAATTGTGTGTGTATGTGTGTGTGTGTGTATATGTGTGTTTTTTCTTTATATACTGACACCAAATCTGATAGAATGTTTGTTTGTATTTTTTATTATTTTCTTATAGCTGCAGAGTGCCATGTGCATGTAGACTTCAAGAGGAAATTTATATGTGACAGGAGTATAGATCTACATCACAGGTTTCCTTTTTGATATTATTCTGTATGTGTTTGAGTTGCGATAAGTGTCATGTGAGATATTATTTAAATGGGTAAAATATTAGCCCTATCTATATGAATGACAAGAAACATGTCACAT